AGATGGTAAGAGAATAAATTTCTGTTGGTTAAAGCCATCCACTTGTGGTATCTCTGTTGTAACAGCACCAGATAACAAAAAAATATCTACAAAGATTAAAAAGAATAAAATTCCAGAGAAAGCTTCACCAACTCCACCAAAGAGAGGCAAATACATACATTTTGGACATTTCTGGAAGCAAATAATAACATAGCCTCCATATTTTCACTATTATCAAGATTTCAATTGTTGGAAGCCTTCTGGTTGCCTCAATCATAGATGCTCTTATGACATCACAGCTTTCTCCCCTCCTCCACTCTTTCTACTGGAACCACAGCAGAAAGGGAGCAGACCTGAAAGCAATGGAACCATCTTGCCCCTAACCATGGGCAATTTAAGGGAACGCCGACCTAAAGGGACTTGAACCATCTATCCCCAAGTCATGGGCATTCACTTTTGTGTAAGAGACAGCTAGGTCATCCAAAGTTGCGGGGAAAGGAGATTGGACTTCCATAGCTATTTCAGAAAGTAGACTCTATCTCTAAAGTTCTTATACAAACTAAAAAGTTGACCATATGGGAAACTAGATTATACAGATAATCACCTCACCTCAACTGTTTCTCACTAAACTCTGATTATAGAAGGAAGGCCACTTAATTCTGATTGAAATTGAGGGTGAATCACAACCATATCCAGAACGAGCTAAGAAAAAAAACCCTGCAAGTCTACCTAAAAGGATACCTGAAACTCAACCTTCAAAGGTAGGCCAATGGATGCTGTCAAGGTTAGGTGAGAGCCCTGTCTTGTGACATCTCTGATTTGAGTAATTAGTTTTGGCATATATTCTTTGCAGTCTTTAACATAAAGTGATAATGACACTTATCCTCCAAATCAGGCTACATTGGTGTATGAACGGTGGTGCTATTAATTTGTTAGGAATAAAAATCATAAACTGAGCAGGTCCAAGGTCAACCAAGCAAAAAGATTTCTTATCTAGAGCTTGGATGAGCAAGAATTGACTGGGATTTTTTGGCTGTCCTCATGACCATTTCCTTCTCGGTTTGAGATATGAGTGCTAAGATATGGAGAATTTATGGCTCGGAAAAGAAATACCAAAAAAATGAGAGTTCAGCTATGTAAGGTTGAAGAATAAGATGGCAAAGGCTATGTTTGCAGAATGTATGACCAAGAAAAGGGAAACCTATACATTGGACATATTGCAAGGAGGGACCAGGCCTTAGAGAGTGACATCATGCTTTGGAGGGTAGAGGGACAGCACAGGAGGAAGACTCTCAATGAGATGAATTGACTCAGTGACTGGGGTAATGGGGGTATGTGTATCAGAGACAGTGAGATTGGCACAGGATATAGAAGGGTTTAGGGCTGTTGTACATAGGGTCTCTAATGAGTCACAGGCAACTTGATGGCACATAACAACAACAGCAAACCTGGTGGTATATGAGCACATGTTTATAGGTATGTATGTGTTAACATTAAGAAAACAAAGATCCTCATCACTAGGCCAATTGGTAGCATCATGATAGATGAAGAGATTGAGATTGTTAACAGCTTTAGTTTGCTTGGCTTCACAATCAACACTCTTGGTACCAGCAGCCAGGAAATTAAAAGGCAAATTGCATTTGGAAAGTCTTTTGTCAGAGATCTCTCCAAAGTACTGAAGAGCAACAGTGTCAGTCTGGAGACTAAGGTGCACCTGATCAAGGCCATAGTCTTTGCTATGTATCAGAAATCTGGACAATGACTAGAGATGATAGAAAGAGAATTGATGCCTTTGAGCTGTGGTCCCATGAGAAGAGTGTTGAATATACCATGGAGTGCTAGGAGAACAAATAGTTTTGTTCTAGAGAGGGTGAGACCATGCTGCTCCTTGGAGGCAAGGTTTCTGAAGCTTTGCCTGACCTACTTTGGGTATGTTGCAAGGTGGGACCCGTCCTTGGAGAGGGATGCCATGCTTAGGAGAATGGAGGGACAGCACAAGAGAGGAAGACTCTCGATGAGATGAATCGATTCAGTAACTAGGGTAATGGGGGTAGTTGTGTCAGAGACAAAAGGATTGACACAAGATAGAGCAGAGTTTAGGGCTATTGTTCATAGGATCTCTACGAGTCACAGATGACTTGCCAGCACATAACAACAACAACAATGTGTTAACTAAAGTTTAAGATATGAGAATAAAAACATATAGATCAATGTGAGAGATAAGTGAGAAAGACCTCAGGCTGAGGGGAAGAGAGAAACTTAAAATTGTGATATGGTTGAGAGAGAGAATGTGGTAGATCTAAGCTGGTGTCAAGATGAGAGGGAAGTGGGAGCAAAAGATCATTTCTACAGCAGGTTAATGGGGGTCTAAAGGGAAAAGACATTAATCCGTGGTAGGTGGGCAAACCCAGAAGAGCATGGTAACAATTCTGGCCCACAGAGCATGCCTATCTTGGTCTAGACTGGCCAACTCCATTCATATAAAACTGGTCAAGCCAATGTATCCATGTCATTAACCTGAAATGGGTAGAGGCAGGTTTGGACTCCTGGCTCCAGTTAATGCCCTGCCCAGTGCTCCTAACTTTCACAGGAAGGGGCAAATGCTACTGAAAGACCGGGGGTCCCTTGGTATGTTCTTGGGTTGAGGTTTGTGGCCAACACTTCCTGAATTTCCCCCTTCTTTTGAGTTGCCATCCCAGAAGAAGCAAAAGAAACCGCCTAGCAACGAGGCAGAAACCATAAAGATTCAGGCCTGGTGGCGTGGCACCCTGGTGCGTAGGACTCTGCTACATGCAGCCCTCCAAGCCTGGATCATTCAGAACTGGTGGCGGCAGACACTGGCCAGGCTGGTCACCAAGAGGCGTCGAGCGAAGCTGGAGGAGTTTGTCTGCAAAGAATGGGCAGTGGTCAGGTTGCAGTCCTGGTTCCGCATGTGGCTGGTCCGCCGGCGTTACTGCCGCCTGCTCAATGCTGTCTGTTTCACCCAGGCTTGTTGGAGGGGTCGAAATGCTCAGACCTTTGGCCCTTTGCACGGCAACTATCAATTTGCAGGAACCCAGCTGCGATTTGAGATTGAAATCCTTCTGCCCTCCCTGGTTTGTCGAATGGTCGGCGTCATTCCTTTCCCAATAAAGAACTGACCAGGTATGCTCCAATACTTTGTCTCCAGATCTCTTTCTCTTGAGCCCCAGCAGGTCCTTGCCTCAGTGGAGGGGCAGAGAAAAGGACAACAGAGGCCCGACATCAAACATGCCAGCCAGCTACCATGTATTGGCTAGGGAATCCTGGAGTCCGTTATTGAGGACACTGAGAGCTAGTACAGGATGAATGGGAAGTGTGATTGATTAGTGCTGTCTGCCATGGGGGGATCATTGAGATTCAAGTCTGTCATACTCAGCAATTCCATGAATCCTCATTACCTGTGGTCTTTGCAAATAGTACCCCCAGAATTGTGCAATGTAGGGGCCTGGGTGGATGTGGAGACATTCTTGTCAGTTACTCTTCTAATCTGGTCCACTGGTCCATAGATTGGATTACTCTTCAAATCTAGTGTCTCAGGCCCTGATACTTCCCCCTGACCCCCTCCCCTATACCCACAGGAACTGGTGTTAAGAGAAATCTACACACCCATACCATTCCTTTCGCTCTAGAGATTTATCTAAATTCAGCCTCTGAATTGGAATCTTGCCCCTGCCTGGGAGCTAGTACAGAGTACAACTTTGAGCCCTTGCCTATTCTTCGAATTTCATCTCTCCTTTTTCTTCCAGCCCTAACTGGAGACTCATCTTTCTCAGGCCTTGCTGGTTTGCATAGTTCCTTGGGAGTAAGGGTCAAGAGAGGAAGCACTATGGAACAATGAATGAATATTTTAAAAAAATAAAAGTGAACTGAGGGTGGGGGAGGGAAGAAAATGTGCAACAAAGAATGAATGAAAATTCAACTTTCTGTCAACTTTCATTAAAAATCACAATTAAAATAAAAAAATTATTGTTTAAAAATATGTGCACACGAAGAGGAGGCATATCTATGATGGCTGAAATATTCTGGCATCACAGACCCAAGATGATATTGGCCTTGTCTTCCTCATATTCTCCCCAAGGTTATCTTGTTCAAAAGGCAAGTAATAGACTATAGAGTCTGCAAACTTGAGATATTCACCCGTATTATGTAACACAAGCTCAGAAGCCTTAGGGCCTAGTCCTACCCCGTGCCTTCTGCCCTGCTCAGTCATTCAACTGGCTCACGGTGTTCCTGAGATGCCACCTGGATCTAGCTCCAATTCTGTCTCTGATTGGAGCTGGAGTCTTACATTTCCAAGTTCCATCTCTCTGTGCCTTAAAGCCAAGGTCTTTCATGAGAGTCTGGGCCACATTCTTTCAAGACACATACCTCTTTCCTTGGCCTAGAGGTATGCTGAGCACATCAAGCCCTGCCTTCTACCTGATGAAATTCACTTATTTAGTCAGCTCACCCAAACCCCAGCTAATCAGCAGCCATGGGAATGGAGAGGAAGTGCTTATTATTGTATTATTGTCCACCACTTAGAATTCTAGTTTGTTATGCCCCAAAAGCTGGCTGATACAGAAAGTGGCCCTAGAATTGTTCCCACAAAACCCTAAAATATTACACTGAATTTGCCACCAAGTGATTGGTGGTAAGATAATTCAAGGCAAAAAGTTGAAGAAACTGTCACCTGCTGAACAAGGACAGTCTCCATATTTGTTCTGCCAATTCAATGGAGTCCAACTCATAGTGACCCTCCTTCAGCTTTCTGAGACTGGGAATCTTCATAGGAAAAGATTGCCTAACTTTCTTCCGAGGAGCACTGGGCAGATTCAAACCACTGATTTTAGTTAGCACAGCTTGTAACACCCTGTACCACCATGTGTCACATACACAGCATGGCACCACTGGAAGGGTAACTTTCAAGGTCGAATTTATAAGAGGAAAAGAAGACCCAGCTCCGTCCTAAAGAAGTCATTTGCTTTGCTGAAAAACCTTCCCTTTGCTGAAAACTCTCACGGTATTCCCCCAAATCTACAGTGAAATATATTCTGTGGGGATTGCTACATCCCTTCCCTTACTTGGCCTGGAGAGTAGGAGAGGTTGGAATAAGACACTTCTTCCAGGAAGGCACAGTCCAGGTCAGGTGCCACAGCTCAGCTGGATTTCAGTCCCACTTCTTGGGTCAGGCACGCATGTGCATGTGATAGATGCTGAGTGCATGTGACAAAGAACAATCAACCATAGTTTATCACCGAGTGCTCCCAACCGTGGTGGATACCTCTTAGACCCTCTCCTTCCTGGGTCTTAGGGATTTGCAGAAGGGGAAGCACCATCTTTATACTGTGTGTGTGGAGGGATTTTGGTCAGATGATCAGCTAGGCTCCAGCTGGAACGAGATTTTCATCTTCCTTCAGCAGTAGAGTCTGCAAGAGATCTCACAAGAACATCTAGGCAGCTGGCATTCAGCAAGGACACATTGCCTGGGAAACCCATCCCTGGAAGCCAACAACATGTCCACTTACAACTCCAAGAGAAAGGGTAGAGAAGTTCACTTCTCAAGAATAATGTGTGTGCAACCAAGAGCATGAGAAAGACTCTTTGAGCTAAATAAGAATCTCTGATAATCAAAGATGAGGCTAAAAAGCCCTACAGAGACGCTCATTGTTGTTGTTGTTGTTGTGTACCATAGAGATTAAACTACTGCATAGCTGACCCTCCAGTGGGTTTTCAGAGGCAGTTAATCACACAGGAGACTTCTCATCCTTTTCCCATGTAGCAGCTAGTGGCCTCAAGCTATGTGCTTTCAGGATTGCAGCGCAGCTTCTTGCCATTATCAGAGCTACCAGAGATGTTTTGTTGGTGGTGGTGGGACCCACAGCGACCCTATGAGCAAAAGGCCTGAAGCCTGTCTATCACTATTGTCATTTATCAAACTTCCCAGAGGCATGTTGTTTAGGAATTGGATGTCACTCCTGCTTCCAAATGCTTAGGGAGTCTAATTAGACTGGTGATGACTTCTCACCTGGGAAAGAAGCCATTATTTAAAAGATTCAAGAATGAATCTTGGAGAGGAACAACATAGTTGTCAAAATAAAAATTCAATAGACAGTATGAAGAGTGGAACAGGCAGAACTGAAGTGCACATTAACGATGGGAAGTTTGTCAAATACAGTATAAAAAGAGAAATGGAAAGAGTGCTGATGTAGAAGCTTAGAGAGAAATAAGCCAGAGGGCTGACACAGCCACATACAGGATTTCCTAGAACTTTTTAAAGACACAACTGTTCCTCACCCCCTCCCAAAAAATGTGATGGAAATCAAACATATTTCCACACATATCACAGTAGTTGTTGTTGATGTTGTTAGGTGCTGTCGAGTATGACCCATAGTGACCCTCACACTTCCTGACACATTAGAACTCATTGTGTCAAGCTGCCTGGTCAAGGGTCTTCCTCTCCTTCACTGACCCGCTGCCTTTCTGAGCAGCACGTCCCCCTTCAAGGAATAGCCCTTCCTTTCAATATGCCTGAAGTATGTAAGGCAAAGTTTTACCGTCTTTGCCTCCGAAGAGTACTCTGGCTGTACTTTCTCCAAGATATATTTATTTGCTCTTTTGATACTCAAGATGATTTTGGAGGCTATTGGGAAAGTGGAGGAAGAAAACTGAGCTAAAATTTCTGCCTTATTTAAAGGGAGGTGATGGCAGGTGTTTGCTCTAGAGAAACGAACATTAAATATGTTAGCATTTAAGTGTAGGCATTAGAATAAAAAGGAGTGTAATTTCTGTATCAATTGGGAATTGTGTTTGGCTGTGACAATAGAAACCTAGGCAACAACTGTTCAAATCAGTTAGAAAATTATTTTTATCTCATGTAGATTTATGCATCTAGAAGCTGGACAATGAATAAGGCAGACCAAAGGACCTATGCCTTTGAATTGTGGTGTTGGTGAGGAGTCTTGAATATTCCATGTACTGCCAAAAGAACTAACAAGTCTGATTCTTAAGAAATGTAACCAGGATGCTTATTATAGGTCTTCAAACTTTTTTGCCATCTAGTTGGAACCAAATCATAGCAGGCATTTCAGTAGGTTTTCCGAGGTTATAGATTGCACAGAAGGAGCTTGCCCAGTGGAGATTGTGAGGACAGTACAGGATTAAGTAGGTTTTCTTTGTTCAAGAGGATTCTGAGCTATAAAGAGTAGTTATGAGTTCGAGTCCTCTTCTTGGCACCTAATAACAACTACAAAATCTGCGTTTGTCTTCTTCCTCGGTAGCTTTCTCCACCAGTTCCTCTCTTCTTACATCTACGTCTCTCATAATCTTTGCTTTATTGTGTTTATTTCTATGACTCACTAGGTTTCTGAATCTCTAAATCACGGAGGTTCTGGATCTCTAAGGAGCTTTGATGATGTCATCTACATCGTGCTAATGGAATGATGCACATTTCTGGTGGTTCAACTCCACCAGCGGTTCCTTTGGAGAAAGTTAGGCAGTCTCTTCCCATTAAGATTCACACACAGCCTGAGAAACCCAATGGATGGCTGCCACGAGTTAGAATCAACTCTATGGGAGTGAGTTTGAGTTCTATGTTTTTTGAAGTTGCTGGCAAGAAGCATACCTGGGAATACAGTGGTTCAGCATTCGAGGTTGATGGTTTGAACTCACTAGCTGCTCCACAGGAGAAAGATGTTGCAGCCTGCATCTGTAAAAATTGTCATCAGGTGCTATTGTGTTGAGTATGACTCAGTGACTCTATGAACATCAGATCTGAACCCTGTGCTATCCTGTGCCATTCTCATCCTTTCTGTCACACTTGACCCCGTTGCTTTAGTCACTGTGTCAATCCATCTCATTGAGGGTTTTCCTCTCTTTCGCTGCATCTTCCACCTTTCCAAACATGCTGGTCCTCTTCAGGGAATCGCCTTTCCTAGCACCATGCCCAAAGTATGTGAGATGAAGCTTTGTCATCTTTGCCCGTGGGGATCATTCTGACTACACTTTCTCTAAGACATATCTGCCTTGAAACCCCTATGTGGTAGACCTACTGTGGTCTACAAGTTGCTGTTAGTCAGCATCAAGTTGGTGGTAAGGAGGAGTTGTTGGTACAGATGACTAATAGTTAAACTGCTAATCC